GTGTTGGACTACAATACTCATTATCTTCAATGTCTATCAGTTGAGGAAAGTTGATATGATCCTGCATATTCGCCATGAATGGATGCCACTGGAAGATACCAGTATAATGGAACAGAGTGCTATACGTGTTATTACATAGTATAATACATTCAGGGGCTTATTATCAACCTCTCATAGCTGAAGGATACTTTTTATTTAGCAAAACTGGAGTCCAATGTTTGAAATAAGGATTTTGTTTTCCATTCTGGATACATTTCCTGTTAAAAATTAAAGAAAGACAAAAAGGGCACAGGACCAGCAATTCCATCCATTGTGAATCTGTTCGTGTTGACCTTAGGAGTTGTGGTGATGCAGTGGTTAAAATGCAATATTTCATCTAACTCTACCCACCGCCAGCAGTTCGATCCTGGCCGACTCAGCCTTCCATCCTTCTGAGGTAGGTAAAATGAGGACCCAGATTGTTGAGGGCAATAGGTTGACTCTGTAAACTGCTTATAAAGAATGCTGTAAAGCACCGTGAAGCGGTATATAAGTCTTAAGTGCTCTTGCTATTTCTTCACAAAGGGTTAAACAAACAACAGTGGCCTTTGCTAAGCCACAAGGAAACATAGCTCCCTAAGAAAGAGAGCACACAAGGAATGTGCATATTTCTGCAAAATGGTTGCACAAATAAACTAACCGATTAAATAAACCCAATACAAATCCAGAGGGGTGAACTCACTTTCCCTGAGGATTTGTTGACTATGAAAGTAAAGATCCCTTCCTTTGCAGCTATAAGAGGAGGGTAAAAAAGGAGAGGGGTGCATAAGTCCCAACCCAGGGATGATGACCTTAAACCAGGGGTGTCCAACCTTGGCAGCGTTAAGACTTGTGGACTTCAACTCCCAGAATTCCTCAGCCAGCAAAGCGTTGCCAAGGTTGGACACCCCTGCCTTAAACAATGCAAAGAAAAAGAGAGCGAAGTACTCACCCTGCTGTCCTTGGGATCCTCTTGGCTGAGTTGATTCTAGGAATCTTCTGGCTTCTTGGTTGCTGGAGGGATCCTTGAATGCTTTGCGGCCTTGTGTGTGTGTGTTTTTTTAAAAAATTTAAAATCAAATCATGTCCCAATTCCAACTCAATCATTTTTTGGGTCTAGTTGAAAGTTCTCCAGGGTAGGTAGTCCTCAACTTACAACCACGATAGAGATGGGAAAATTTGTCATTCAGAGGTATAGTCATTAAATGAGGCAGTTGTGGTGATCTTTTTTGTAACCAGGGGTCATTAAGCAAATCATGATGCTCACTGAGACTTGGTGTGACTATGACTTGAGACTTTCCCTGACGGCTTTCCCATTATTTTTGCTTTTCGAAAGCGGGCTGGGAAAGTGATCAATGGCCATTGTGAGACTGCAGTGAACTCCTGTAAATATGCAAGCACCCAAATCACAATCATGTGAGACCACGCAGATGCTGTGATGGTTATACGAGGATTGGTCATAAGTCCCTTTTTTCCAGTGCTACCTTAACTTCGGGATGGTCATTAAATGATTGTAAGTTGAGGAATAGCTGTATGGGAGAATGCTACTCATTGACTATCCGTCTTAGAAGCTTAGTTTATTCAAGGTCTTTGGTTAAAACTTATAAGTAATCCTTGTTTAGCAACCACAAGTGGGACTAAGCGGTCACTAAATGAGATCACGACTGTGCTTGTGATTGGACTTCAACTTTCCTTTGGTTTACAGACTTGCGAAGGTGACACATGAAGAACTGGGGGTAAGGTTACTGTTTCATCACTGCTGTAAATATGAACAGTCACTACACAAGGACCGTCACTATACTACCTTGTATAGGGGTTGGAATAGAAGAGATCCTCCAAGGTCCAACTCTGCTGTTCTGTTCTGCTCTGTTTTATTTTCTATTCTATTTTCTATTCTATTCTATTCTATTCTATTCTATTCTATTCTATTCTATTCTATTCTATTCTATTCTATTCTATTCTATTCTGTGTTCATTCTTAATTCTATTCTATTCTGTCCTATCCTATCCTATTCCTTATTCTATTCCACTTATTATTCTATTCTATTCTATTCTATTCTATTCTATTCTATTCTATTCTA